TCGTACTTGCATTGCAGATGGAAAATCCGTGTTGAGACTAAACCTATCAGTGTAGCCACACATCCCTCAGTGACGTCACTGACGACTGATCTCATACATCAATTTATATAATGTCTCTGACGATCGATCTTATCCCTCAGTGATGTCTCTGACGCTCGATTTCATCCCTCAATAATGTCTCTGACGTCTGATATATGGGAGATCAAACACTACAGCACATACTCTCTGCAGGCAACTACAGTCAATATAAACAACTCAGCAAAAACACATACATGAGACATGAGACCAACACCCGTGTCCGATTGCATGGGTTCCGACGGTCATTTCTGAGCGTAGTGGCAGTCACAAAATGATTTCAGTCAGCAAAAATCCTTCTTCCCGGGTGATGGAACGCTGTCGTCAACCTGCATGTCGCTGGTAGATCATCCAAACGTCTAGATGCCATGCCCTTCCGATCACACTTTGTGAGTGAGTGTGAGTGAGTATGGTTTTAAGCCGCTTTTAGCAATATTCCAGTAATATTGCGGCGGGGAATAATAATAAAAATAAGCTTCACACATTTTACCCATGTGGGCAATCGAACCCGGATCTTCGGCGTATGAGCGAACGCTTCAACCACTAGGCTACCCCATCGCCCCCACCACCACCGCCCCCACCGCCCCCACCGCCACCGCCCCACCCCACCGCCCCCACCGCCCCACATTTTGTCCTACATCAAAAACGTTGTGCTGACCAAGTTGTAAGCAGGCCCATGCATGCCAAGCTTTTCAATCGTCAAACAACGTTTGTTACGCTGAGGGGGTCAAGCTTGCATTCAGTTGTCCTCTGCAACAAATGTTGTGCCCTGTGATAATCATGTGGCATATAACAGCAGAACCGGTGCCATATAGCAGATTGGTAGAAGAATTGGTGCCATATAGCAGATTGGTATCAGAACCGGTGCCATATAGCAGATTGGTAGCAGAATTGGTGCCATATAGCAGATTGGTAGCAGAATTGGTGCCATATAGCAGATTGGTAGAAGAATTGGTGCCATATAGCAGATTGGTATCAGAACCGGTGCCATATAGCAGATTGGTAGCAGAATTGGTGCCATATAGCAGATTGGTAGAAGAATTGGTGCCATATAGCAGATTGGTAGCAGAATTGGTGCCATATAGCAGATTGGTAGCAAAACCGGTGCCATATAGCAGATTGGTAGCAGAATTGGTGCCATATAGCAGATTGGTAGCAGAATTGGTGCCATATAGCAGATTGGTAGCAGAACCGGTGCCATATAGCAGATTGGTAGCAGAATTGGTGCAATATAGCAGACTGGTAACAGAATTTGTGCCATTTAGCAGCTTGGTAGCAGAATTGGTGCCATATAGCAGCTTGGTAGCAGAATTGGTGCCATATAGCAGCTTGGTAGCAGAATTGGTGCCATATAGCAGATTGGTAGCAGAATTGGTGCAATATAGCAGACTGGTAACAGAATTGGTGCCATTTAGCAGCTTGGTAGCAGAATTGGTGCCATATAGCAGATTGGTAGCAGAATTGGTGCCATATAGCAGATTGGTAGCAGAATTGGTGCCATATAGCAGATTGGTAGCAGGGTGGTGCCATATAGCAGATTAATAGCAGAACCGGTGCCATATAGCAGATTGGTAGCAGAATTGGTGCCATATAGCAGATTGGTAGAAGAATTGGTGCCATATAGCAGATTGGTAGCAGAACCGGTGCCATATAGCAGATTGGTAGCAGAACCGGTGCCATATAGCAGATTGGTAGCAGAATTGGTGCCATATAGCAGATTGGTAGCAGAACCGGTGCCATATAGCAGATTGGTAGCAGAATTGGTGCCATATAGCAGCTTGGTAGCAGAATTGGTGCCATATAGCAGATTGGTAGCAGAACCGGTGCCATATAGCAGATTGGTAGCAGAATTGGTGCAATATAGCAGACTGGTAACAGAATTGGTGCCATTTAGCAGCTTGGTAGCAGAATTGGTGCCATATAGCAGATTGGTAGCAGAATTGGTGCCATATAGCAGATTGGTAGCAGAATTGGTGCCATATAGCAGATTGGTAGAAGAATTGGTGCCATATAGCAGATTGGTAGTAGAACCGGTGCCATATAGCAGGCAGCGGAATCGGTGCCATATAGCAGGCAGCAGAACCGGTGCCATAAAGCAGATTGGTAGCAGAACCGGTTCCATATAGCAGGCAGCAGAATCGGTGCCATATAGCAGGTAGCAGAACCGGTGCCATATAGCAGATTTGTAGCAGAATTGGTGCCATGTAGCAGGCAGCAGAACCGGTGCCATATAGCAGATTGGTAGCAGAACCGGTTCCATATAGCAGGCAGCAGAATCGGTGCCATATAGCAGGTAGCAGAACCGGTGCCATATAGCAGCTTGGTAGCAGAACTGGTGCCATATAGCAGGTAGCAGAATCGGTTCCATATAGCAGATTGGTAGCAGAACTGGTGCCATGTAGCAGGCAGCAGAATCGGTTCCATATAGCAGGTAGCAGAATCGGTGCCATATAGCAGACTGGTAACGGAATCGGTGCCATATAGCAGATTGGTAGCGGAATCGGTGCCATATAGCAATTTGTGGTAGTCGAACTAGAGACATACAGCAGTTTGTGATATCAGTTCTAGTGAGATATAGCAGTTTGTGATATCAGTACCGGTGAGATATAGCAGTTTGTGACATCAGTACCGGTAAGATATAGCAGTTTGTGATGTCAGTACCGGTGAGATATAACAGTTTGTGACATCAGTACCGGTGAGATAAAGCAGTTTGTGATGTCAGTACCGGTGAGGTATAGCAGTTTGTGATATCAGTACCGATGAGATATAGCAGATTGTGATATCAGTACCGGTGAGCTATAGCAGTTTGTGATATTAGTACCGGTGAGATATAGCAGATTGTGATATCAGTACCGGTGAGATATAGCAGTTTGTGATATCAATACCGGTGAGATATAGCAGTTTGTGGATCAGTACCGGTGAGATATAGCAGTTTGTGATATCATTACTGGTGAGATATAGCAGTTTGTGATGTCATTACCGGTGAGATATAGCAGATTGTGATATCAGTACCGGTGAGATATGGCAGTTTGTGATATCAGTACCGGTGTGATATAGCAGTTTGTGGATCAGTACCGGTGAGATATAGCAGATTGTGATATCAGTACCGGTGAGATATAGCAGTTTGTGATATCATTACCGGTGTGATATAGCAGTTTGTGGATCAGTACCGGTGTGATATAGCAGTTTGTGGATCAGTACAAGACACGTAAATCAGTTTGTGATATCAGTACTGGTGAGATATAGCAGTTTGTGGATCAGTACCGGTGTGATAAAGCAGTTTGTCGATCAGTACAAGACACGTAAATCAGTTCGTGATATCAGTACCGGTGAGATATAGCAGTTTGTGATATCAGTACCGGTGAGATATAGCAGTTTGTGATATCATTACTGGTGAGATATAGCAGATTGTGATATCAATACCGGTGAGATATAGCAGATTGTGATATCATTACCGGTGAGATATAGCAGTTTGTGATATCAATACCGGTGAGATATAGCAGTTTGTGGATCAGTACCGGTGTGATATAGCAGTTTGTGGATCAGTACAAGACACGTAAATCAGTTTGTGATATCAGTACTGGTGAGATATAGCAGTTTGTGGATCAGTACCGGTGTGATAAAGCAGTTTGTCGATCAGTACAAGACACGTAAATCAGTTCGTGATATCAGTACCGGTGAGATATAGCAGTTTGTGATATCAGTACCGGTGAGATATAGCAGTTTGTGATAGCAGTACCGGTGAGATATAGCAGTTTGTGATATCAGTACCGGTGAGATATAGCAGTTTGTAATATCAGTACCGGTGAGATATAGCAGTTTGTGATATCAGTACCGGTGAGATATAGCAGGTTGTGATATTAGTACCGGTGAGATATAGCAGATTGTGATATCAGTACCGGTGAGATATAGCAGTTTGTGATATTAGTACCGGTGAGATATAGCAGTTTGTGATATCAGTACCGGTGAGATATAGCAGTTTGTGATATCAATACCGGTGAGATATAGCAGTTTGTGATATCATTACCGGTGAGATATAGCTGTTTGTGATATCAATACCGGTGAGATATAGCAGTTTGTGGATCAGTACCGGTGAGATATAGCAGTTTGTGATATCAGTACTGGTGAGATATAGCAGTTTGTGATATCATTACCGGTAAGATATAGCAGATTGTGATATCAGTACCGGTGAGATATAGCAGTTTGTGTTATCAGTACCGGTGAGATATAGCAGTTTGTGGATCAGTACCGGTGAGATATAGCAGATTGTGATATCAGTACCGGTGAGATATAGCAGTTTGTGATATCATTACCGGTGTGATATAGCAGTTTGTGGATCAGTACCGGTGTGATATAGCAGTTTGTGGATCAGTACAAGACACGTAAATCAGTTTGTGATATCAGTACTGGTGAGATATAGCAGTTTGTGGATCAGTACCGGTGTGATAAAGCAGTTTGTCGATCAGTACAAGACACGTAAATCAGTTCGTGATATCAGTACCTGTGAGATATAGCAGTTTGTGATATCAGTACCGGTGAGATATAGCAGTTTGTGATATCAGTACCGGTGAGATATAGCAGTTTGTGATATCAATACCGGTGAGATATAGCAGTTTGTAATATCAGTACCGGTGAGATATAGCAGTTTGTGATATCAGTACCGGTGAGATATAGCAGTTTGTGATATTAGTACCGGTGAGATATAGCAGTTTGTGGATCAGTACAAGGGACGTAAATCAGTTCGTGATATCAGTACTGTTGAGATTAATGAACATTATATCCCACGCAATAATCTGGACACATTAGCTGTTGGCAGAACGAGAGATACCTTATCCATGGACAGGTTGGCACGTCTCGGTATCGATTCCTGGCCGTCGACAAATCACCCGTATATACATCATCAGGGTGTTGGACCACAGGGTATTTCAACATCGGCCGGTTAACCCAGTACCTCGGTCAGTCAACAAACTACCATCAACAACAGCGCGCCGTATCATATAGAGGAGAGTGAAAGTTATCAAAGAGGCACTGTGTAATGGCGTTTTGTGTATCTGTTGGCTCCATCACAATGTGTATACTTGCGTTTCTTGTGTTCGTGACTTGCGCCACCACGACTGCACTGTGTAACTACGACACACTGACCCACAGACAGCTGTACGGGAACGTGTACCTCACTCTGTACCCGGGCGGGGAGTACCGCTGTCAACGAAACTGTTGGTACTCCAGCAGGTGCGTGTCCTTCAACTGGTACCCTCGTCTACAGATGTGCCAACTCTGCGATTCCTCAGGGAGGCTGCAGCCATGGAATCTACGGACAAGCCCTGGTGTTGTGTATGGCGAACCGGTACGATGTCAGGTAGGTCTGCTGCACACTCAGAATTGATTGGTCACCATGATGAAAAACTCATTTATGATGCTAAACATCTCACCCTAGTGCCTTCTGACAATATCAAGCATGTCTACAAGAGTAAATGAGGTTTTCTTTTTCTGTAAACAGAGACTGGCCAAAGATTTGAAAACTTAAATGGACGATTTATTTGGAATCACATATTTGTAATCACAAGCCACGCGGGTGAAATTCTACTTATCCCCCAACAGTAGATGTTAATGTACCAGATATACGACGTTTCTACGGACGAGAGGGAAAGTCGGAGAGTTCCACTGCATAACGGTTCAAGACTATCCTCCCGACAACCTGTGGTAGAAACAAAACAAGTTATGCATTTAGGAACCATGGACTGCGCCACTGACCAGATTTAACATGATATATTTTAAGTTACACTTTCTCAGTAAAGTACAGATTCTAGTACTTTTGTTGTCCGACTTCCATTTTCGGGTGGCTGAAAGGGCTAGGCGGCTGACTTTGAGTGCTGGCGATTAGATGCCTCATTCTGAGAGTGTGGGTTCGAATCCTGAATGGAACTTAAACCAACGAAGGTACTAGAATATGTGCTTTACATATAACATATAACATGTGTTAGAATTCACCACTTTGTAAATCGTATTGCGTGACGTCACTGACAAGTAACAGTGTCCTTTTCTTCCCTTCAATTGTCTGAAACTTGGAAATGAACAAGGCAGTAAACATTTCTATCGATCTATATTAAGCACAAACTCTTCCAAATCTTCTGACAAGGCAAATGGGAAAAAGAGTTTGATAAAGAATATACCAAATCTGAACAAAAAGGAATCTATTTGATGTCGAAACGATGCACAAAGAGTGTTAACATCAAGTGGTTTCAGTTCAAACTTGTCCATAATATTCTTTTTTACAAACACAAATTTACATAAGATTGGATATGTAGACTCTCCATTGTGTACATTCTGTGAAGCTGAACCTGAAACAGTGATTCGTCTGTTATGTGAATGTGAACATTAAAAAAGGTTATGGAGTCACTTGTCGGATTGGTTAAACACTGTAACTGCAGGAAGAATTTGTTTCACAAGTGAAAAAATGTTTGGGGGAATTGAAGGGAAACACAACAATCCATTGAATGTGATCAGCATTATTGCCAAACAAAATATCTATAAATGCATTAAAAAGAAAATCAAACCATGTTTTAAACATGCTAAAGACAGATAATTAACTATTACGAGGTAACAAAGATAAATTATATTCAGAACTGTCAATTTTACAGTTTCTTCAATTTCTGGTCATCATTTCATACTTTGTTTGCTGACACTTGAACAAATCTTCCCCAAGGGTTAATTATCCCACAAATCTCTTTATTTGCTGAAACTGGCAAATACTCTACACAACTATTGCTATTCTCTGTGCATCACTGCAAGTCAAAAGAATAATTATAACATATTATAATCTGTATAACTCTTTTATGTGTCATCTGTTGTATATTATCATGCATGTTGCTATTTGTACATCATAATTGAAAAACCTCACTTAAAATATGCCATAGTACCATGCTCCACAAATGCTGTTATGTATTGATATATATGTTACTGTATATCTTTATTTTGTTATACATGCAAATAGGAAATAAAACACTTAAATTAAAAAAACAATTGTAAATGATTTATGATTTAGGTGCAATCATTGGAATAAACCTACCACGCCTTGGCTTTGACTCCCTGTCTGATCATAGATGTATTCAAATATATCCATATCTTCCATCCTATCTTTTGAACCATTAGCCCGTCAATCGCTTTGGCTGATTCTATATATCTTTTGGTTTCCTTCGGTTTGGTCAACAGTTTCATTGGCAGTTTTTTGATGAACACGAATCTGTTGTGGATTGTGATTGAACATTTAGACTGTTAGGATGTTATTTTTATGATTGCTTCTTAGAAGATACCGAGATTACAACACTATATTATTTGAACATGTCATATATTTTCCATATAGAATCAAGATGTAAACCTACACATCTCCCGATAACGTTGAAGTTACACACGTCGCAAAATATTAACAATGACTGTAAAAGAAAATACAAAACTGAAAAAGCATTTAGATTTCTGGGAAAATAATAAACTGCAAGAATTTAGAGATAATGTACACTGAGATCCAGTACAGGAATTGCTAGATAGATCCCTAGATGCAGCACTATCAGACGGAGTATTGATTACATCACAGATGATTTATGTTTAGCAGCCTCAGACATGAAAAAACAAACGGGCAGCCGTTGAAAGATACCTTAAATAAATGGTTTGATAGGGAATGTGAAAGGTTAAAGAAAGATAGATGTAAAGCATTAAATAACTTCCAAAACACTAAGGATAGTCAATCGTTAAATGAATACCACAAAACTAGGAACAAGTACACAGCAACGTGCACACAAAAACGAAAGGAGTATTTTAAATGTAAACAAAAACGTTTGGAAGACAGTATTAATTATGCAAAGCAGTTTTGGACCGAACTAAGGAGTTTTAAAAGACTGAAAATAGTATACATATTGAAGAGTGGTATAAATACTTTGAAAACTTGTTTACATTCCCAGATAATGACTCGGACTCCCACCATTCTCCTGAAGCACCATGCCATTTGTAAATCAGGTCTTAGATGCACCAATAACTAGGGGTGAGATACTTGAAAGCATTCAGCATCTCACATCACCTGGTATTGCTAATATTATTCTTGAATTGTTTAAGAATTCAGCGGATATAGTTATGCCATATTTGGAGCTAATATTTAATGTTATACTCGAGACTGGTATTTTCCCACAAGCTTGGTCAATTGGGCTTATCGTCCCCATACATAAACAAGGTGATATAAATAGTACGAATAATTACAGAGGGATCACCCTCCTTAGCATATTTAGTAAAATCTTTACGTATGTCATAAATAAAAGACTTGTTCTATGGGCAGATATTCTGGATAAAATAAATGAAGAGCAAGCGGGGTTCAGAGAAGGGTACTCAACAGTTGACAATATCTTTATTCTTCAAACAATTATATAAACATATTTAAGCACCAAAGGTGATAAATTTTATGCTCTTTTTGTAGATTTCTCTAAATCATTTGACTCGGTAAATAGAAATATACTATGGAATCGTTTACGAAAGCATGGTTTAAGTAGAAAAATGAATAAACTACTCTGCAGCATTTATGAAAATGTAAAGGTATGTGTAAAAAAACAATAATGAGGTCTCAAATTCGTTCACAAGCCAGTTATGGGTAAGACAGGGTTGTATTTTAAGTCCTTTTCTGTTTAGCTTTTTCATAAATGAATTAGCAACTCAAATCCAGGGGAATTGCAATCACGGCATCTAGGTACATCCTGATATTATGCAGCTGTTTTTGTTTTTATTTGCAGATGACATCGTATTATACTCATGCCAATAATAGTTGTCACCCCCTTCAATTTTTTATTGGAGAGGGTGTGGGGGTGTGGGGGTTGGGGTGGGGAGGGGTGACAACCATTATTGGCATGAGTATATTTTCCAGTACTATAAATGGTCTACAAAGACAAATTGGGGAATTAGAAAGTTATTGTGATAATTGAAAACTAAGTATGAACAAAGATAAAACGAAAGTTGTAGTTTTTAAAAATGGTGGGAAAATATCAGGTAAAGAAAAATGGTTTCTCAAAGGAGAACCTCTAGAAATAACATCGTTCTATAAATATTTAGGTGTTTATTTTACCAAAACCCTGTCATGCAACAGACACACTAAACAGGCAGCCATGCAGTCCAGAAGGTGTTTATATGTGTCTATAAACAGTTAAATGTTTTAGGAAATGTTTTCACAAAATAAGCCCTATACTACTTTATGGGTCTGAAGTTTTGGGCCTACAACATTTCGCTGCCATAAAAGAAAGTTCATTTGTATGTCTGTAAAAGATTTCTTGGCGTTAAGATAAATACACCTAGTGTTATGGTCTATGGAGAATGTGGTAGATTCCCAATGTATATATTTTTCGCAAGTTAAGGCTATTAAATACTGGTTAAGATTGCTGAATATGCCTGCTCATAGATCCCCAAAAATGTGTTACAATATGATGATAGTTTATGACAATAATGGAAAAAATATTTGGGTAACGAATATGAAGACATTGTTGTTTAAAGCTGGTTTTGATAACGTATGGTATGACCAAAACGTTAGGTCTTACCCTAATTTTATCTTGTCACTGACTCAAAGACTTCAGGATATTTATGTACAGACGCACTGACTTAATCAAACAAATTTTAAATGTTTTTATTACAAACTCTTTAAAGCGCAAATAAGTTTGGAGTGGTACCTCTCTAAGATAACAGTAAAGAGTTCCGAGTTTCACTATCACGTTTTTGATGTTCATCTCATGATTTATTCATAGAAACTGGACGTTATACTAATATTAAGATAAAAGAGAGACTATGCCAACTATGTGATGTAAATACCGTAGAGGATGAGTACCATTTCCTTCTTGTTTGTCCGCTGTATTCAGATCTTAGAAGAAAATGTTTACCAAATTATTTTTATAGATATCCAAACGTTACTAAATTTAAATCATTACTAACAAGTACAAACATTTCAATGCTCCAGAATTTATCAATGTTTATATTCTATGCATCAGTACAATGAAATAATACTACGTGAAAAATGTAAACGCTACTACTCAGGTGAATACAAATGTATGTCTGTCATATTTTTATGTACTGTAATGCCTGTGGCCTTTTCAGTACGGAATAAAGATTGATTGATTACAACACTATAGATAGTAATAAGTCAGTGGTCTGTGCAGCAGGTTCTCGAGGTGGTAACAAGTCAGTGGTCTGTGTAGCAGGTTCCTAAAGTGGTAACAAGTCAGTGGTCTGTGTAGCAGGTTCTCGAGGTGGTAACAAGTCAGTGGTCTGTGTAGCAGGTTTTCGAGGTGGTAACAAGTCAAGTTGTCTGTGTAGCAGGTTCTCGAGGTGGTAACAAGTCAGTGGTCTGTGTAGCAGGTTCTCGAGGTGGTAACAAGTCAAGTTGTCTGTGCAGCAGGAGATTCTATCCCCAGAAATCTTAGAAATGTTCAACTAGTTTGGAAGGTCTAGAACTATCAATAATACATTGATCATTGTAAAGGGACTATTCCTATTAAGGATGTTTGAAGATTATTAGTAGTGCTGTAACGATGCATCAATATATCGATGGATTTCAATTGTTGACTCTCCGATAGCAATTAATCGATGTTAAAATTGTGACTATCGATAGTTTTAATAATTGACTTCCGTTAATAAATGCGCAGCGCAAAATACAGGAAGCACCATATTCGTTCACTTGGATTTAGAGTTATCCGCCCCTGTTACCTCTTAAACAAACGTGGTGGCAACCACGGCATGCTACTCTGAATTTGAAATTGTGAATAACAAGAAGTTTGTGTTTTAACTGTTTACTTGATCTGGGTTTCTTGTTTGTTATTAAAATAGACTGAAACTACTTCAACTTGTTTTTATTTCATATAAACTATACATGCATTTGGGAAATGACTTCAAATAAAACAATTCAAGGACGAAAAATACTATTGTATTGCAATAGTTGGTCGCAATAGACTATTGCTATCGCAATAGTTGTTTACCCCTCAATAGTCATTCCTAATTATTATACAGACAATGTTATAGGCAAGTGGATTTCCGGATGAACACATCCTCAAGCAGGAGCAATGAATTACCGCCTTCTGGAAGTTATGACTGCCTTTCATTGTAGGGTACGACTCACGCATGCGCAGACAGACCTTGCAGGGAGGACGAGATATGCATGCCAGCGGTCCAAGTGACTCAACACATATGCCTTTCATTAGGTAGGATCACATATATATCGATCTGTTGTCAAGTTTGAAGATATTGCCAAGCAGAATAATGTATGTAACATGTTGACGCAAGTTGTTCATGCAACACGGTCACGTTCTGTTGAAGCTATCTGATGTTCATAGGCACTTTCTCACACACCTCGTTTCCATAGTACCACGTAACCTTGTAATAATAATAATGGACATTTAGAAAGAGTCGTGTAGCTTTTAACACGGATGGCGTGGTAATATTGGTCGACACAAGATGCTGACTTGCTCCATGTTTTACCTTCACAGAGTCACTCCCCGTCATTACAACAGTGCAGAGTGAGAGTACATCTCCGCCCACCAGCACATACAGCACTACACAGAGTACGACGTCGTCCACTACTACTCCCAGTTCAACGACTCCGACGTTGTCAACTACTACTCCCAGTTCAACGACTACGCCACCAACTACTACTCCTAGTTCAACAACTCCGACGTCATCAACTACAACTCCTAGTTCAACGATTACGACGTCATCAACAACAACGCCCACTACGACCACTACAACCACTACGAAGCCACCACTAACGTCTACAACTCCTGTATCTACAACTACAGCTGTCTTATGTAAGTGTTAAATATGTAGTGATTGAACCAGTGGGAGGTAGATGGGGTCCAGTGATGCCACGGTGAGGCACACAAGTAATGGGCTTCACACATTGTAGTGGTAATGGGGTCTGATACCACGGTGCACACATTGTAGTGTAGTGGTAGGTGGTAGATGGGGTCCAGTGATACCACGGTGAGGCACACAAGTAATGGGCTTCACACATTGTAGTGGTAGTGGTAGATGGGGTCCAGTGATACCACGGTGAGGCACACAAGTAATGGGCTTCACACATTGTAGTGGTAGGTGGTAGATGGGGTCCAGTGATACCACGGTGAGGCACACAAGTAATGGGCCACACATTGTAATGGGGTCTACACATTGTAGTGGTAGGTGGTAGATGGGGTCCAGTGATACCACGGTGAGGCACACAAGTAATGGGCTTCACACATTGTAGTGGTAGGTGGGGTCTAGTGATACCACGGTGAGGCACACAAGTAATGGGCTTCACACATTGTAGTGGTAGGTGGGGTCCAGTGATACCACGGTAAGGGACACAAGTAATGGGCTTCACACATTGTAGTGGTAGGTGGTAGATGCGGGTCCAGTGATACCACGGTGAACACAAGTAATGGATTCACACAAGTGTTAGGTGGTAGATGGGGTCCAGTGATACCATGGTGAGGGACACAAGTAATGGGCTTCACACATTGTAGTGGTAGGTGGTAACCCAGGTATTGACACAAATCTTCAGAGTGACGAGCATGCGCTCTCACCAACAATCTCCCGATCACAAAGTGTTTTCGATTGAAGTATCTTTCTCGCTCAGAAAAATACCTTAATGACAAGTGTGTCAGACATCACAAATAAAGGCATTAGCATGGCAGTGTCGGAGCCTGGTGGTTAAAGTGTTGTCTTACCACGCCGAAGACCAGGGTTCGATACCCGACATGTGTACATGTGTGAAGTCCGTTTCTGGTGTCGCCCGCCGTGATGGTGCTGGAATATTGCTAAAAGCGGAGTAGTGTTAAACTCACTAACTCACCCATGGCACTAGTATGAATATATTCTGTCATGCCATCATGTCAACTCGGGGCTGGCCTCAAGTAAAAGTCAGGGATTGTGTGTTCTTTTTATGTCAGCCATTGCGCCTTAGCGTGTGGGTCGACTTTGTATCAAGGTCAGTTGTGTTGTATACTGAACACAGAAACGTTAGGCATGTTTTTTGCAGAATGTTCAATATTCTGTTTTTGGAAGATGTGGCTGAGGGATGCTATTCTCAGAGCAACTCCGACCGCCTCCTCCCAACTGACGACGACATCAGCGACAACTCAATGACCATCCCCATGTGCTCCGCCCACTGCCGGGATCTCGACAAACCCTACATCGCCCTCCACGTGAGTTTCCTACACTTGTTGTAGTATTGTAGTAACAGTAGTAGTTGTTGCAGTAGTAGTTGTTGTAGTAGTAATAGTGATAGTAGTTGTAGTGATAATAGTAGTATTAGAGATAGAAGTAGTAGTTGTAATAGTAGTACTAATAGTAGTAGTAGTGATAGTAGTATATTGTCTTTGACATGACTATGTGACAGTACACCTAGTGTGTATGTCATGACTCTAGGGACAGTACAATAAGTGTGTATGACATGACTCTGCCATGTGTCAGTACAACTAATGTGTATGACATGACTCTGCTATGTGGCAGTACAACTACTGTGTATGACATGACTCTGCTATGTGACAGTACAACTATTGTGTATGACATAACTCTGCAATGTGACAGTACAACTAGTGTGTATGACATGACTGCTAGGTGACAGTACAACTAATGTGTATGACATGCCTCTGCCATGTGGCAGTACAACTAGTGTGTATGGCATGACTCTGCCATGTGTCAGTACAACTACTGTGTATGATATGACTCTGCTATGTGTCAGTACAACTAGTGTGTATGGCATGACTCTGCCATGTGTCAGTACAACTTCTGTGTATGACATAACTCTGCTATGTGACAGTACAACTACTGTGTATGACATAACTCTGCTATGTGTCAGTACAACTAGTGTGTATGATATGACTCTGCTATGTGTCAGTACAACTAGTGTGTATGATATGACTCTGCCATGTGTCAGTACAACTACTGTGTATGATATGACTCTGCTATGTGACAGTACAACTTCTGTGTATGACATAACACTGCCATGTGACAGTACACCTAGTGTGTATGATTTGACTCTGCAATGTGACAGTACAACTTCTGTGTATGACATAACTCTGCCATGTGTCAGTACAACTAGTGTGTATGACATGACTCTGCTATGTGTCAGTACAACTACTGTGTATGACATAACTCTGCCATGTGGCAGTACAACTAGTGTGTATGATATGACTGCTATGTGACAGTACAACTACTGACTATGACATGACTCTGCCATGTGTCAGTACAACTACTGTGTATGACATGACTCTGTCATGTGTCAGTACAACTACTGTGTATGACATAACTCTGCCATGTGTCAGTACAACTACTGAGTATGACATAACTCTGCTATGTGACAGTACAACTACGTTTTATGACAAAACTCTGCTATGTGACAGTACCACTACTGAGTATGACATGACTCTGCCATGTGACAGTACAATTACTGTGTATGACATGACTCTGTCATGTGACAGTACAACTACTGAATATGACAAAACTCTGCCATGTGACAGTACAACTACTGAGTATGACATAGCTCTGCCATGTGACAGTACAACTACTCTGTATGACATGACTCTGCCATGTGACAGGTCAACTAGTATGTATGACATAACTCTGCCATGTGTCAGTACAGCTAGTGTGTATGATATGACTCTGCCATGTGTCAGTACAGCTAGTTTGTATGACATGACTCTGCCATGTGACAGGTCAACTAGTGTGTATGACATAACTCTGCTATGTGTCAGTACAACTAGTGTGTATGGCATGACTCTGCCATGTGTCAGTACAGCTAGTGTGTATGATATGACTCTGCCATGTGTCAGTACAACTACTGTGTATGACATAACTCTGCTATGTGTCAGTACAACTAGTGTGTATGGCATGACTCTGCCATGTGTCAGTACAACTACTGAGTATGACATAACTCTGCTATGTGACAGGTCAACTACTGTGTGTGACATGCCTCTGCTATGTGACAGTACAACTAGTGTGTATGACATAACTCTGCTATGTGACAGTACAACTAGTGTGTATGACATGACTCTGCTATGTGACAGTACAACTAGTGTGTATGATATGACTCTGCCATGTGTCAGTACAACTAGTGTGTATGACATGACTCTGCTATGTGACAGTACAACTAGTGTGTATGATATGACTCTGCCATGTGTCAGTACAACTAGTGTGTATGACATGACTCTGCTATGTGACAGTACAACTACTGTGTATGATATGACTCTGCCATGTGTCAGTACAACTACTGTGTATGATATGACTCTGCTATGTGACAGTACAACTTCTGTGTATGACATAACACTGCCATGTGACAGTACACCTAGTGTGTATGATATGACTCTGCAATGTGACAGTACAACTTCTGTGTATGACATAACTCTGCCATGTGTCAGTACAACTAGTGTGTATGACATGACTCTGCTATGTGTCAGTACAACTACTGTGTATGACATAACTCTGCCATGTGGCAGTACAACTAGTGTGTATGATATGACTGCTATGTGACAGTACAACTACTGACTATGACATGACTCTGCCATGTGTCAGTACAACTACTGTGTATGACATGACTCTGTCATGTGTCAGTACAACTACTGTGTATGACATAACTCTGCTATGTGACAGTACAACTACGTTTTATGACAAAACTCTGCTATGTGACAGTACCACTACTGAGTATGACATGACTCTGCCATGTGACAGTACAATTACTGTGTATGACATGACTCTGTCATGTGACAGTACAACTACTGAATATGACAAAACTCTGCCATGTGACAGTACAACTACTGAGTATGACATAGCTCTGCCATGTGACAGTAAAACTACTGTGTATGACATGACTCTGCCATGTGACAGGTCAACTAGTATGTATGACATGACTCTGCTATGTGTCAGTACAGCTAGTGTGTATGGCATGACTCTGCCATGTGTCAGTACAGCTAGTGTGTATGACATGACTCTGTCATGTGACAGTACAACTACTGAGTATGACAAAACTCTGCTATGTGACAGTACAACTACTGAGTATGACATGACTCTGCCATGTGACTGGTCAACTACTGAGTATGACATGACTCTGCCATGTGACAGGTCAACTACTGAGTATGACATGACTCTGCCATATGACAGGTCAACTAGTGTGTATGACATAACTCTGCTATGTGTCAGTACAACTAGTGTGTATGGCATGACTCTGTCATGTGACAGTACAACTACTGAGTATGACAAAACTCTGCTATGTGACAGTACAACTACTGAGTATGATATAACTCTGCCATGTGACAGTACAACTACTGTGTATGACATGACTCTGCCATGTGACAGGTCAACTACTGAGTATGACATGACTCTGCTATGTGACAGTACAACTACGTTTTATGACAAAACTCTGCTATGTGTCAGTACAACTAGTGTGTATGGCATGACTCTGCCATGTGTCAGTACAGCTAGTGTGTATGATATGACTCTGCCATGTGTCAGTACAACTACTGTGTATGACATAACTCTGCTATGTGTCAGTACAACTAGTGTGTATGGCATGACTCTGCCATGTGTCAGTACAACTACTGAGTATGACATAACTCTGCTATGTGACAGGTCAACTACTGTGTGTGACATGCCTCTGCTATGTGACAGTACAACTACTGTGTATGACATAACTCTGCTATGTGACAGTACAACTTCTGTGTATGACATAACTCTGCCATGTGTCAGTACAACTAGTGTGTATGATATGACTCTGCTATGTGACAGTACAACTAGTGTGTATGATATGACTCTGCCATGTGTCAGTACAACTAGTGTGTATGATATGACTCTGCTATGTGACAGTACAACTTCTGTGTATGACATAACACTGCCATGTGACAGTACACCTAGTGTGTATGATATGACTCTGCAATGTGACAGTACAACTTCTGTGTATGACATAGCTCTGCCATGTGACAGTACAACTAGTGTGTATGATATGACTCTGCCATGTGTCAGTACAACTACTGTGTATGATATGACTCTGCTATGTGACAGTACAACTTCTGTGTATGACATAACTCTGCCATGTGTCAGTACAACTAGTGTGTATGACATGACTCTGCTATGTGTCAGTACAACTACTGTGTATGACATAACTCTGTCATGTGGCAGTACAACTAGTGTGTATGACATGACTGCTATGTGACAGTACAACTACTGACTATGACATGACTCTGCCATGTGTCAGTACAACTACTGTGT